TCTGGAAAAGGAGCTTCACTGGATTAAGTGAGTTACTGGTGAGCTCCTTTTCCTGACTGCAAGTGCAATGAGACCAGCTACCAAACACTCTGTCACTATACCTTCCCCGCCATGATAGACTGACTGTATCCCCTACAACCACAAGCCAACATAACCCCTTCCTCAAGTTGCTTCTTGTCAAATAATCACAGAAATAGGGAGAGTAACTAATGTAAACAGTTTAAAACCTTTCTATTACAACTCCATATTTTCTCAGTTGCCTTTATTTAATGCTTATAATTCTCCTTTAAAGACCTTTTTTTTTTTAAATAAGAAAGACTTTATTATTTTTAATCATTGAGATGAAAGATGTGTGAACCCTGTATATATTTATATATAATTCTTTGGGGGCACATTTTCCACCTGCCTTTTTCTTATGTTTGTGTTTTCTTGTCTTTTATTTTTTTAAGTTTCCCCTTCTACCACCTTCTGTTACTGTGAAGGTCTAAGGTCCATGAATGAGTCAGGATGTTACTCTCCTTTTCAATGGGACATTAGTAACTGTGGATCTAGTTCTTAGTAGGTTCAAACAAACACAAACTGAAGGATGATGGTGCACCCCACACACAAATGTTTAGAAAGCTCCCCCTGTCCAGTGGCTTCTCATCACTAACTTTAATCATTGTTTCAGAATCTGATTTCAGAATTGTGAGCTGTTCATAGTAAGCACCCTCTTGGTGTTTCTGCTAAGCTGGAATGGGAGATTAGCTTGCTATCTTTACTAGAGGTTACTGTGATGGAATTTTAAGCAATGTCTTAGATTGTATAAGTAGTGACTTTGTGTTGACAGAATGTTCATTTAAGATTAGACTTGCAAATTACATGATTATTTTGGTCACTATAGACAACTAAGATAAATGTGTTTTGGTTATAACTATCTTTACTAATTTCTACTAATCAGGATCATTGTCAAATCTCCTTTTCAACTAAGAACTAAAATTTAATAAACAAATAAACAAATTTCCTTACCATGCTTTCAAGTTTTGGAACAGGCAGAGATATTTAAAAGCCCAATATTTAACCATCAATGACATGTTAATTTTTATATTACTTATGTATTAATATAACTACAGATTTAAAGTAGATACATTCATTTACAAGTATTAATCTTAAGTAAAACACCACTTCTAATTAGAATATGTGCCGTATATGTAGATAAAATGAAAATTATAAGAAAATACTACATGCATGCAAATAGCTGTTTGCATAGGATATAAATCTCATAAATATTCCTGGAAGGATTTAATTCAACTATCAAAATTTTGAATTCACTTGTTTTATGATAGCTTAAATGTAAAGGGTGACAGGACCTAACTTTGGTCACAGTGCAATGTAAAGTGGAGATGGCACACCACTAAGTGTGGATGAAGATAGGGACAACACACCACTAAGTTTTTATAGAGGACAAGAACTTACTCTGCTTTCAGCATTAAAGAAGCCAGAGATTGCTAAGCACCCCAAGAACATACACCTGACCCTGCTTATCTCAGTATAGAATATTAACAAAGACACAGCTAAAACTTAAAAAATAAAACAAAACAAAAATCTTGCTGTTTTTCCTCACAGATTAAGTTTCCTAAAGTATCATCTTAATTTTCTGTTGCTTCTCATTTCCCACAGTTATTGTGTTTGGTACAACCACGATGCTGCATTCTTTCTGAAGTCATGGACCAATTAAAACTGTAACAGCTGCAGGGTAACCAACTTTCAGAGATGGCCTGCCTTGGTTAGGATGATCAGTGTTTTGGAGTCAGCATTAAGCGATTTTTAATGTCTTCTATGCAGCTGACATTTGTTTTTAACTTTATAAAATTCCAACCATCCTATAAAGTGACTGGCCAAAATTACAAAAAATAAACAAGTGTGACATGTATATCAGTGTGTCATTTTTAATGTCCCACCTCTCCCAAGCTAATTTGGCATAAGTATTCCGGAAACAATCTAGGAACAAGAGAAAATGAAATCATAGGAAGATGTAGCTTAAACACCTTCTAAACTGAGGATTACCACATGTCTAGGAACTTCCTGACCACGCTGTGATCTTGAGACTAGGCAGAACGTCTCCTCTTGCTTTTCCAGACATTTTAACCATGTGTTAAGTTGCATTTTGCTCCCGTTACTGTGCTAATCCATTAGAGTTTCGAGGCAAATGATGTCCAAAACTTAACCTCTGTTGCATAAGCAAAACCAAGCGAGTAAGCCTCGAGACACTGCTTACTCCTAACTACAGAATCTGAACATGGAGGACACATCTCTTACACAGTCGTGCTCTGAAATATGAGGCCTCTGACAGAACATCGAGGGAAAAAAGACATGCCCACACTGGTGACGAGGTTTAATAATTTGGTGTGCCTTGGCTGAATGACGTTTTAACATGAACGATTTCTTTCCTTGAAATATGACGTTTTGAAATATTTAAATCCTGTAACCATTTCTTGGCTCAAAGAGTGTTTCCTGCCTTTGCTGTATGTACACTCACACCAGGCACCGTCCTAGATTCCTCCCCACCTCCCCAAGCTCACTAGTGAATTAAATGATTTCTGCCCTTGCGCAGATTATATTCTACAGGCAGGGAATCAAGCCCGGGACAAAGTGTCTTAGAAGTTGAAAGGTGATGCAGAATAAAAGAAAGGGGGGGCATTATTATATAATATCTATGTAATGGATTATCTTATTTTCAGTAGTTATCTATGCCTATGGTGTTCTATGTACACCAATTTTGGAAGTCTCTAGAGAATAGTAAATACTATCAAGAGTGAATTACAGTACATCTACACACAGAGGAAACACTCGGGCTAATGAGTGTTCATAAGAAACATAGAGAAGTTTCCTATTTGTAATAAAGAATATTAAGATCAGCACTTAACACAGCTTTCATCCTTGAGGTCTTACCCGTAATAGTTACTAAAAAGCCTTGTAAGTCCACAACTGACATGGTTTTCATTATTGGTAAATACTCAACTTTCTACTCTGGGGAGTTGTACTGCTATCCCCTCTGTGTCCCTGTAGCTCTGTTTTGAAAATCACTATGACACAGTGATTAATCTGTGATTCATTAACACCAGTATAATCACAGGTTGCCTTAACTGAACTGCTACGGTTGTTTTTAGAATTTGGAGTATCAGCACACACAGGATACCTTGGGGATGGGACACAACTCTAAACACAAAGTTCATTTCCACTTCCCATGCTTGAACACAGAGCTTTGTGATAATTTTACTCAATATTTTAACAATTTTGTGCATTTTAAAAAAGATTTATTTCTTTCTTTGTTCGTATATGTGTGCTTCTGTGTGCCTTCCAGATGAGTGCAGGTACCTCTGGACACTAGAGAGTGCATTGGATGCCTGGAGCTCAAGATACAGGCAACGATGAGCCTCCCTATGTAAATTTATGGAACCAAATTAGTTTCTTCTGCAAGAGCAGCAAATACTTTTGACTGTTGAGCCATTTCGACAGGCTTCGATTCTGTGTATTTTGACAGCAGCTTCCCATGTGAGGTCACAGTGGAGCTTTTCCCCTCACGGCATCGTGTCAGCGTTCAAAATGTTCTTGTTTGGGGAGCCTTTCAGAATTTGGATTTTTTCAATTTAGAGGTGCTATGCCCACACCCTTTAATAACAACACTACAAAACTGGCAAAAATCTTTGGAGGCTACTGTTTGTTTTTTAATTTACCAAATTGCTCACAGTTTATTGTGCAGTGAGCTAAGGTTGCATGTGCTTTCTCAGTTGTAATTATGACATAGAGGAGGACACCGGTCTGCTTATGAAACTCTGGCATTTGCTCAGTGGAGCTGAAGGCATCTTCACTTCTGACATGCTCACTGATTTTAGCCTGAACTTTCAGCTCTAACCTTGTACATGATTTCCTTATAATAAGTACGTCTAACTCCCGTGTCTCAAATAGAAGCAACACCATTTCTATCAATAATACAAAAGCCATCTCTACACCCATTCAACAACTTACTAGAGAGAGTATTTCTAAGTTTTAAAAATGGATTTAGTACCTATGACATCAGAGAAGTAGCTAATGATGGCAAGGTCTCTGTTGGCTAAAAAGGAGTGGAACTAACTAGTAAGTACAGGACCATTCTAGGTACTTGGGTTGGACTCCGTGGCTGTAGGAGCCTCTGGCCTCAGATCTGCGCTTGACACATGTACCAGCGCCACTTATGAGGTGTGGGAGTCCCTGGATATTACCTGGAGAGAAAGACATCATGAACGATCAGGAGAGAAGAAATCACTTCCTCCAGGAGAACTGTGTGTGTAGTGCAAGGTAGGTACAAAAGACTGTGCCATCAGAATAAAGACACAGCAGCTTACTCTCTCATTGTATTGCAGATTTTAAGAAGTAGTTTTTAAGCCGGGCGGTGGTGGCGCACGTCTTTAATCCCAGCACTCGGGAGGCAGAGCCAGGCGGATCTCTGTGAGTTCGAG